TCTCCCAGTTAAAATAAACATTAATCTATCCTATACATATCTAATCCATCAATCCATCAATTTTTTTTGTTAACAAAATAATAACAACCTTAAATCATTTGAGTCCCTTAAACAAGGATCTGTTTTCATCCAATTAATTATCAAACCTAATACCATCCATATTATCAAAGAGAACACATCATCTTATTAAAATCACATTCAATTAACTATTAATTCAATCCCGATCTAAAACATCTCTTTATTTTCCTTCATTCCATTATATAGTAATTTTCATACATTAATCACCCATTTTTTTTCTTATTTCTATTCAAAAACCTAATCCTTAACTCAGTCCATAGTTCTAAAATGCCTTATATCCAATATATATAATTTTAAATTTCTCTTTTCAGTCTTATTCTAGGCTTTTTTTTCTGCCAAGCAGGTTTCCACAACAACGCTTCCTTCCAACCGGTAAATCTCTCTTTGTTGCTTGTGGTGTTATTTGAGGCAGTAATAAGCTTCCTGTCATCTGGATTGGACCTCCATTTCTCTTATTCTTAAAGCCTCACTGCATTAAAGGTTCAAATCTCCATCTTTGTTTTTTTTTGGTCCTCACAAATATAGATAAAATGCTTGTAGGATGAAATAAGTTCCTCTATATCCTCAATGAAGTCATCTTTTAGTGTATTTTGATTTGTAGAGTAGTCAGGCATAATCTGAAAATCACTTTTAAAATTTGAAGCAGAATCTCTGATTCTTAGTTCTGTGGTGATCTCTTTCATTGTAACAAATTCCTCTTTAATTTCCTTTAATTCCTCTTCTGGTATATTTTGGTTTATAGCATAAACAGATGTAATCTGAAGATCAGTTTGAAAATTTGGGGTAGCATTAACTCTTCGTTCTGTAGTAATCCTTTTCCTTATAGCACATATTTCTTCAGAAACCTCATAAATCTTTTCCAGTATAAGCTTCCAATTTAAATGAGAGTGGAGTTTCTCCATTTTAAAAGTAATCAAAGAAAGTCTTTTCTTTATTATTATTATTATTATTTTTAATGAGGGCTGTAATTAAACAGTGTCCACTCCCTCAGTTCCCACATCTGCACCAGCTTATCTCTTCCAGGAATATTTTGAAGGTCAGGTTTTAATCCAAAAAATAGTTGCAATATTAGCTTTTCACCACTAGATGTCCGCAGTAAATAAAAAAGAAACTTTTCCAGACACCATTTTCCCCCCTTTTTTCTCTCTTTTAAAGGAAAGAGTGGAGAAAGAAATATTCTTCCAATGTTGGCTCTTAATAAAATTCAAAAAAGCGTTTTTTTTTTTTCTGTATCCCAAAATGAGTAAAAATAAAGTATAGTCTTTAAGAAGTTTTTATTCTCAACACCTCTCTTCCCACACATACAGAAACTGCCCTTTTCAAATCGGGAAATAATTCCAATCCAAGTTTTTTCAGGCAAAAAACAAAAAACAAAAAAACAAGGGAAAGAGAGGGGCTAAAGGGGTCTCACCCAGATCCTCCGTGGTGGGTCTAATATCGCTTAGCTGTAATTGTGACTTTGGCTGGTGCAGCAGGATGATCAGCCATCTTGCAGGACGATCGTTGCTCCGTCGACCCTAAGGAAATAGCTGGAGCTGCGGGAGAAGCTGCCGCTCTCCTGCAGCCACCAGCAAGCCTCCTTCTCGGTGGTTGCCCCTCCAGGGCAACTTTCGACCCACTGGGGGGTCTACCAACGCAGAAAACCCGGCCGGGCTGGAGACAAGTCCCTAGACCCGACCGGCGTCGCCGTGTACCGGAACCGGAAGTCAGGAGATTGACAGTCTGGATCTACACACACATCCCTACATCCGCTTGTTGAGGTTGCTGCAAGGCCCAGAAGGTTCAACTGATGAAGAATGCAGCTGGCACAGTTTTAATTATTAGTTGCTACTTATTATGCAAACTTTGGAGGGAATTGTCCCATGTCAGGTTTTAGCATCTTTTTCTGAAGACTTTTTCTTTATTGGGGCTTCCCGAAAATAAGACCGGGTCTTATATTAAGTTTTGCTTCAAAAGACACATTAGGGCTTATTTTCCAGTTACGTCTTATATTTGGGGAAATATGGTACTAAATCCCAGAATTCCTCAGCCAGTCCATAAGTTATAAAAGAGCCAAGGTTGCCTACCCCTGGGGTAGGGCTTATATTATGAGCATTGTGAAAAATCATGCTAGGGCTTATTTCCAATTGGGTCTTATTTTCGGGCAAACATGGTACATGACTATCCTTTCATCATCTATGGCAGACATGTCAAACACAAGGGCCACAGGACAGAAGTGGCCCACGAAGTGGTTTCATGTGGCCCGCGAAGCCATTCTGGAAACAGTAAGGGAACAGTCCCCACTGCCTTGACCCTGGCCCAGGCTGGCTGGGAGCCAATGTACAATTTTGTGGTGGCCATCTATGCTGAAACACATTCAGTCTTAACTCCACAAAACCGTCTGGAAACAGCGAGGAACCAGCCCCTACCACATCGACCCCACACCCTGGGTGCATGCTGGGGAAGTGTCACCCTTTGTGAGGAATGAAGAAATGCACCATCACCTGTAAGTGGCCAGCAAATAGCCCTCGCCTACTTCACATATCCAGCTTGATGGGCTCCAGGGGAGGGATTTTGGCAGGGAGCGGACCACTCTACTCACAGCGCTGAGAGGCTGAGCTGGGCGGCGCAAATCTAAAAAGAAGCGTGAGGCCGCCCAGCTCCCAGCCTGCCCAGTTTCGGCAGGCAGCAAGGCGCTCTCCTCACAGCGCCAAAAGCTGAGCCGGGTGGCACAAATCTGATGAGAAGTGCAATGCTGCCTAGCCCCCAGCCTGCCCAGTTTCAGCAGGCAGCAAGGTGCAAATCTGATGAGCTTCACACAGCCCAGCTCAATCTCTCAGCACTGTGAGGAGAGCGCCCCGCTGCCTGCTGAAATTGGGGGCTAGGCAGCATCGCACTTCTTTTTGGATTTGCGCCACTCGGTTCAGCTTCTTGGCACTGTGGGGAGCGTCCCACTGCCTGCAGAGACCGGGCAGGCTGGGGGCTGGGCAGCATCGTGCTTCTTTTTGGATTTGCACCGCCCACTTCTGCCTCTAGGCGCTGTGAGGAGAGCACCCCACTGCCTGCTGAAGCTGGGGGCTGGGCAGCATCATGCCGGTAATGTTGACTTTCATGTTGCTCATGGCATCCCCTTCCCCAGAGCCCACCAAGCCAGATATGTGAAGTAGGTGAAGGCCATGTGCTGGTCACTTCCAGGCGATGGTGCATTTCTTTGTTTCTGATGAAGGGTGACACCTCCTGAGCTGCGTTTCTTGCCTGTTTTTCTCCCTCCCTCATCTCAAATATTTTCCCATCACTCTGTACTTAGGAAGGAAGGAAAGAAGGAGAGGGAGGGTCTGAGGGAAATCCTACCTTAGTCCTGCCCTGCTGCCCTTTCACCATCCCCTTGCCCCCTCCTCCTGGCCTATCCTGGGGGTCTCCCATCCTATTGCTAAGGAAGCTTTGGATACAAAGCCGGGTCTCCTCCCATGCAGAGGGAATGGGCCTCCCTCTGACTTTTCCCTCATACCCATCATGAGCAACCTGGCTAAGGAGAGCAAGACTAGCAGCAGCAGCCTTGAGGAGGAGGTAAGCAGGTGGGCACCCCCTTGGGGAAGTGGGGCTGAGCTTGGTGTCGTGGATGTTTGAAGGCCAGGCTGGACATTTGACCTCTGCTGCCCAGGGCTCCAGGCAGCCCGCACCACCATCCAGCCCCCCCACAGAGCTTGAGAGGAACAATGAGGCTCCTCCAGTGGACTATGCCTTGGCACTTGCCCTGGTCCCATCCCCTTCTGCCAGAGATCCTCAGATCTGTCCCATTTCTGCCCAGGCCCCCATAGGCACTCTTGTTGCAAATGATGTAGAGCTGGCCACGCCCGTCCAGTAGGCCACACCCATTCCATCCACACCCACCCAGTAGGCCGCACCCACCCAGCCTTCTGAGGAAACTGTAATGCTGATGTGGCCCTCAATGAAATTGAGTTTGACACCCCTGATCTATGGAGTTCTAAAGACACTTGTCTGTATTACAATATTTTACAGTCAGGTGAAAATTCACTTGCCAGGCATTTTTATTTATTACCAGATTTAATATTTTTAAGATATTATTTTTATATTGTGATTGCTCTGAAATGCAGAGTGAAAAGTGAAGTATTTAAAATAAACAACTGAACAAACCAACTGGAACTATGAACTATACCTCACATATCACATTCTTTACATATTCACATGATAATAAACATAAGACAGCATTTTGTTGACATGCACATGTATAAATATTAAAAAGCATAGTTCAGTGGTGGCGAACCTATGGCACGGGTGCCAGAAGCGGCACCCAGAGCCCTCTCTGTGGGCACACGTGCCATCGCCCCAGTCCTAGATCTTCAGCTGGGTTTTATAAAACCTTTTTGTTTTAGGCCTCTGCCGCCGTGTGCAAAAAAAAAAAAAAGTTCAATCAATCAGTTTCAATTTCAACTTCTTGCGGGGAAAAAAAAGATCTTGCAAAGTTGAAATTAATTGATCGAACTTTTTAGTCCCAACCAGTCTGCCATTACCACCACAGCCACGCCCACCCAATGGGCCACACCTACCCGGCACCTGACGATGCATAAGTGAGTTTTGGGTTGCAGTTTGGGCACTCGGTCTTTAAAAGGTTCACCATCACTGGCATAGTTTTATCTAATTAGAATATAATTCTAATGAGGGGAAGATTTTCTGGTTTATATTAGACTGTTGACTATTCTCACCATAAATGGATTTCAATGAACTTCATCAACTTCTTCCAAATAGTCACAAAGCAGTAAACCTTTCCGGTTTTCAAATGTCATGAGCTGTGTATGAACTGAGAGTAATGGCTGCCTTAGCCCCAAATCCAGAGCATTTTTTTTTAAAAAAGATATTTTAGTATGGGTCAGATTAATCTGTGTCAATCAGTAAAGGTCTTATCTTGCAAATAAGAAAATTACCTATGTTCATAAGCAGTCCATTCATAATTGTGGTATGATCTGGCTTCAAAGTATTATTATCTTGATTGATAAACTCAAGACTGTCTTGAAGCCTACAGGAAAAAAGAAAGAAAGAAAACAATCTTGTGCCAGGACGTTTATCTTTGGTTATAAGTTGTGTCTTACTTTCCTTGCCCCTTTTCCCCACCTGCACCCTTATGTCTTCTGAGAATGAAAGAGGAATCCTTAGAGAAAAAAGGAACTAGCAAGAGACAATCTATTCTCCTGAAGAAACCATAAGGACCAGTCTGTCACTTCCCAATGATCACAAGCTCTTTCTAATGTACTCACGTGTTTAAACTTCCATAAATACTGCTTCCTGTTCGAGCTGTAAAAACTTTGCTCAGCATAAGCTGTGGAGGAGAGCTGTGAAGCCAAGAGAATAAGAATGAAAAGGTGTCCTCACCAGACAGCAATCCCTATTCATCGAAGCACTAGAGTCATAGTCTCACTAAGGATGTGCTTCTCAACTTCAGCAACTTTTAAGAAGTGTGGACTTCAACACCCAGAATTCCCTAGCAGGCATACGGGCTGGGGGATTCTGGGAGTTGAAGTCCACACCTCTTAAAAGTTGCTGAAGTTGGGAAACACTGTTTTAAGGTACTAAATTCTTTACTAAATAAATATTCCAAAGCATTCCCTAAAAATAGTGGTCTAGAGGGGAAAATTATTTCATTATATTAAAATAAGATTGATTTGCTTTTTCATTATGTCAGCTAATCAACATAAACATATCTCAAATTTAGGCATGAAACACATAAGCACATAAAAGCAATACTAAATATCATAAGCTAACATTCTTGCCCTGAATTTTAAGAAACATTCATGTGACTTTTCTAAGAATCTTGTTTTCAAAAATTATAAAGTTCAATTTTATTTTATAAAATAATTGTAGGATCCAATTTCCCAAATATATGGGTCTACTATTGTTCTTAAATCCCATCAGAATCAAACCTAGCTTCTGTAAACACAACCCACCCTGTGAATGAGCTTAACAGATGGCAGCATTATTTTTTCTGTAAAAATTATACATTCCATGTTTTTCCACACTGAAGGACAATTAGGGTAATAATGAAACAGCATGCCTATTTGTGAACTGTGGGACTCTGGTTTTAGATGAATACAGATGAGAAGCACATAAAGTAACTACCGGTAGCTGGGGATAAGCATATCAAAACTACATAATTAAAAGTATTCTGCAAATATTCAACAATATAAAATTAAACATCTGGAAAGAAATACTTGACTACAGCAGAGGTGACCAAAGGCTTTGATTTCATTAAGGGAATGAAGGCTACAAAATGGATAGGGCCACCTGGGAGGGTCTTAGGAAGAATTTTGAAGGTTTAGGCCCCTTTTAAATAACTACATGCTTATTTAGGATTTACATTCCATATTTCTTATTTCCCGCCTAATCTTTCCCATAGCATCCAAGTGTGTTGTCAATTTTCAGTAATCACAATCACTTTGGGTTTGTGGCCTAAAAAAATGCCTCTGGAACATCATGCCCACTGGACTGTCCATCTCTGTCCCATTACTGGCACACTGTATACAGCCCAATACACACAGCTATTGAATTTATTCATAAATGCCTGATAAAAACTGAAGGACAGAAAATATGCTTCATTAGGAAGGTGTATGGGAACTCTCCCCCCCCCGCCCCAGTTTTGATTATGGCATGCAGAATCCAAAACCCCCAAATCCCAGAGTGATCACATTTCTTCTCCCCACACTGTCATTTCTATATTATTTTCATACTACGAAAATTAATATTTTTCCAGAAGTCTGGTTTCAAGGTGAAATAAGATTCTAACTTCTGGGGAGAAGTCCGAGAGGAGAAGTATATGTAAGAAAAAAAGAATCTTTACCGGATCTGGTGGATTTTTAAAGTTGAGCCCTTGTAGCTCATAGCCACAGAACCAAACATCATCTCCCCAAGCATGTTGGCATCTGAAGTACATCGAGAGCTCTGAAAAAAGACACTGCTAATAATTATGTTGCATAGTGATCATTTTAAAAGCATTCTTCAGGTAGGGCAGGGGTAGGCAACTTTGGCTCTTTTATGACTCGTGGATTTCAACTCCCAGAATTCCTGAGTCATGGTGGCTCAGGAATTTTGGGCGTTGAAGTCCACGAGTCATAAAAGAGCCAAGGTTGCCTACCTCTGAGGTAGGGCATAGAAAATGGAGGAATGTCACAACTATAAATACGTTCAACAAAAGACGAGTGTTACATGTGTGACACACGTGTAAACCCCATCCTCGGGTACCAAGTTGTTTATGCAGGTTCACGTTGGCTCTTTAGAGTCAACGATCTAAAAGTTGCTGTAGATGGCAGTTGTTGTTCATGCTGAAAATAATCTTTGGGCAGAATCAAAACCTTCTGCACCTGCTGCTGCTCTCCACACATTAAGTGTTGTGATTTTATAGCAGGTGTGGATGCCAAGGGCTCCAACATATGTGATGTAAAATGAATAGGATAACATCACACATGTGGCAGGGCCAAGATTTTATTCAGTGTTTGAACATGTGAGCAGGGTTTGTTTTCAGGTGGTTTTTTTCTTTCTTTCTTTCCCTTTCCCTCATTTTGCACTAAGGGCTTACACTGCAACTTTCAGACTTAGCACTTCAATATAGTAGGAAGAGAAGCTCCTGACATTTGACCAGAGGGAACTTATGATGCTGTATGAAATCCCGGAGTAACAAATTGTTCACCCCTATCTTATGGCTTGCCTTGGAGGACATCATGTGTCTCAAAAACCTGATCTGCTGTCAGTTTTCCTGCTCACTTTTTATCTTGAGCAAATACTCCAGGCACATGGACTTTGATACTCTCTTGGTATTTGGCTATTCTGTCTTAAAGGATGTAATTTGATTTGATGGGAGAGGTGCATATTGGAACTAAATCCTGTGAGAAAAATAACAAACCCAGGGTAACGTAATAGCCTATTGGCCCATAGATATTTCTGCCTGTGGATTCAAACAAGCAATAGAGAATGCACAACTCTTTGAATGGCTTAGTTCACCATATTGTATCTGCTTTTAACATGAATGCAGCAGCTTCTGCACTCAAGGGCTTAGAATTTCACACACTTTTCATACCTGGTGTCAAAGCACTTAAAATTGTCAGGCAGTAATCACATATGTCACACTACAGAATAATATATTCTTTGATTATCCTGTAGGTACTGGCATTTTGTAGCATAATGGGAGGAATGTTTCTGAACTAACAAGTTGCCTGGTAGGAAAGAAAGATATTTTAATGGTAAACAAGATTCTAGCTTATTTTTCCATCCTGACTATAATAGTTATTTCTGTCAACTACAATCAAAACTGCCATTTACACGAATTGTAAAGTCAAATTTAATAAGATGGATTGACAAAAAGTAAAACAAAATAAGCTTCTATTTGGATATTCTGTATAAATGCATGTGATGTTTTTAATACATTATTTAAGACAATAGCCATTACTAGAATTAGGAGCTTGAAAAAAATATTTAAGCTATAAAAAGATTTTCAGAAAAAAAAATACCAGAACCAAAAAACAACCCCCAAATAATAAATCCTTAGGCATCAAGCAAGAAAACTTGCTAGATTTTTCTCCTTTCAGGAAGAAAACCCAGATGATTGAAAAAAAGTGAATTTACATGGATTAGTATAAAACTTTTCTTATAAAAGCTATGCATTCCATGGTGCGCTTCATCGGTTCTAGAAATACATTAGGAGATAATGAGTTTCAGCTGATCACATGGACAGTTAAAATTTTCCAGTTCACCCAATTTTGCCAATTTCAAAGTTGTGTGAAATTTTCTTTACAGGTAATTTTTTTTAAGTATATTATTCTTACATGTAACTGACAATGCTGTCCAGTCAGATTAGAATGGATGTTCTCCAGTGAACTGAATATTAATTATGAAGAATAACAGCTAGTGGACAACCAGTTCTTCTACAGCCAATTTCACAGTCTACATTTACCTGGAAGTGAGGCTTGTGGAAATAAATTTAGCTTTTTTAAAATATGCATACCCTAAAACTTTATTGTGGAAAGGAGCATGGTGACTCAAGGGGTTAGGATGCTAGCTTGACAAGCAGCCTGCTCATCTTTGAGACCTGAGTGCTGCCGTGGGACAGGTGAGCTCCTGTCCTTCGCTCCAGCTTCTGCTGGGGACATGAGGAGTCCCCAACTGGGTGTTCCCTGGGCAATGTTGATGTCAATGGCTAGTATTTTCAACCCGGAAGCACCTCAGTGCCTCCGATATGAGTGCGATATGATTGTGGAAAGCCTGAGATGTGGGGATATTAAATTTGTACACCTATTCCTTTTCTTCTTGAATTCTACCAGAATAGGAATGACCAGGAATGCACTAAAAGAATAAAGAGATAACAAGGGCTCATAACCTGTATTTTTAGAGCCAATCATCCCTAATGCTGATGCCTACAAAGACCTGCTTCGTCAGTCATTTTTTAATCAGAATCGTGCTACATGCATAAATATTCCATTTAATTTCATGTCGTTCTTACCAGTGTAAAAGTCTTCACATTCTCACAGATTTTTCTTTATAATTTTAATGATAAATATTGATTTATAAAGTTATATCAGAATTCTGGGTAAATGTGTTCCATCAAAATACAAAAACAGTTATTTGCCAACTTCTATTTCAGTTTTGAAATATCTATATTGCTTTGACAACATTCATTTTCTTTCAACTGGTGCTAAACAAATATATAATAATAATAATAATAATAATAGTAGTAGTAGTAATAATAATGGTGGTGGTGGTGGTGGTGGTGGAAGGGACCTTGGAGGTCATCTAGTCCAACCCCCTACTCAGGCAGGAAACTCTATACCATTTCAGACAAATGGCTGTCTAGTCTCTTCTTAAAAACTTCCAGTGTTGCACCATGATGCCTAGTTGGTCAGATATAATGGGAACTGTAGTCCAACATTCTGCACATTAGCCTCTATTTGTGACTCTTTGCCCTCATTTAATGTCAGGGGTCTCTGGTTTTCTTATTTTAAATATTTGGAAAGGCTTGTACAATAGGGTTCATTGTATGGAAAGTAGTTTGGAAATGTTAAATGATAGATGTTTGCTTGCTGTCATTCTAAAAGGATTATGAACTGGCATTCATTGAACCTGAGTTACACTTTAAGAGAGGTTTTGGCTACTAGTGCAGCCAGTCATCTGACTGATGTATTTCTGTCATCTCACCTTGTGCTGAGAGAAGTGTTTTCTATTAAGCCTTCCTAAAATAGAATTGAGCCTTTCTATTCTTTACAGTGAGTAGTTCTCTGCTTAAAACAGCCTGATCCTAACATAGCACATTCTGGACATATTCTGCAGGACTTCTTGACTGATACTAGTGGACCTGATCTCTTAGTAAAATTTTGCTAATGAAATGTTAGCCTCCCCATGTCATCATTTACACCTTGTCTTTCCGTCTCAAATACACAATATCTTTCCTTGTATTGCACTAGGGCAGGTGTAGGCAACCTTGGCTCTTTTATGACTCGTGGACTTCAACTCCCAGAATTCCTGAGCCAGCATGGCTCAGCTTGGAAACTCTCCCTTTCCCCTCAGCATAGCTGGCTCAGGAATTCTGGGAAGTCCACAAGTCATAAAAAAGCCAAGGTTGCCTACCCCTGTGCTAGGGAAATTGAAAATTGTAGTTTTTTATTTTTTAAAAAAAATCTCTTTGTCAAGGACAAATGTATGGGTTGGTGAAGGAAGAGCAGGGATGATGTTGAATTCTGTTCTTAGAATAGAGAATAAGAATAATGTTCTGCAGCCTGTTGTATCTCATTTAACTTCCATGTCAGAGAGATTTTTTGGGGGAGGAATTCTGACTCAGTCAATGCTTTCTGCCGAGTGGTCCCATATCAGTGAATGTGCTGTATCCAGTATTAAAGAGGCAGACCAAATACGTACTTTAAGAGGTGCAGAGGGAGTAGTTAATGTAAATATAAGGAACTGCCTGTAAATGACTAACACAATAGAATTTGATTTTCTCATAAGTAAATGTGCAAAGTATTTGCTAAGTTAATTTGTAAAATGTAGAATGCACATAGGGTTTTTCGCTGTCAAAAGCTGAAGCACATACTTTACATGTTATTAAATGACAGGAAGATTGTTTCAATCTACTGTTGTCTACCAGCCACTAATCTTCAGGGAACTAGTGTCTCAGGAATCAGAGATTCCAACAGCCATCATAGCTAGTCATTGTTGATAGTAGAATTAATATCTGTGTAGCAGAACAAATGTCATAAATAAAACCTCTCTTATCCCAGCCCAGCTTGTTCTATGTTCTATTACTGCTGTGTGTGTGTGTGTGTGTGTGTGTGTGTGATTTTTTTTTCATTTCACAATGAAATGACGAGGTAATAGACAATGTGTTTTCTCATGATCTATATCTATATTATGATGGTAAGATGTGTGAAAGAACAACATGGATGGATTGATAATAGGTCTTTTTTTCACATGTACATGAATAGGCATTTCTCACTGTATAGAACAGTCATGGGATGAACCAATGGCAGAGATATTAATATGTAGTAGCCAATATAAATTATTATAAATTTATTCATCTATTTTTTGCCTTTCATAGAAAAATAGCTAAAAATCTGTCTTGCAGTAGACTAAAATATAGGTGTTTGTTGCTACTTTTGTGATCATTAGTATAACAGCAAGTTCAAGTTTTGTAAATGTCTACATGTTTTATTTGCATACTGTGCAAATTCTGTTTCTACAGGTAATTGTCTTATTGCAGACTCAGATGATAATCAACCATCTCTTCTATTGGACAATCACCAAAAAAGTTCTTCTTGGCTTGGAACTCTCTGCCCCAGCCACTTCTAACAAGTGATGCTTTTAGCACAACTTAAAGGACTCTCACCTGAAATTTTGGACAGTGTTCTTTTGTTTCAGTAGAAGAAGAGGAGGAATTGATTGAACTGTCCAAAGAAGATGAACTATCTCCTCCAGGCTTGAGCTGGCAACATTTTCCAAAAACTTTCACTGGTGCATCACTGCAGAGCTTCTGATGGAGAAAAAGATGCAATTGCCACATTATACTTAGCAATCTCCAGACCATTGTTTAATTTAAGGAATTCCTCCCACATACAGTGATAACCAGGAAATTTCATATTAACAAAAGCATTTCAATGTTAAAGAAATAGAGGAGAACATTAACTAAGATGAGCATTCAGTAGGTTTTACTTGTTTAAAGTAAAGAAATGCATCTTCTCTCTAGCGGTGCCTGCCCTCTTGAAGAAGGTTCCTCCCAAGACCCAGATAGCCTCCATTATGCTGTTATTTAAAATAATTTTAAATGACTTCTTTAATTAAGAATGACCTGACTCTTCACCCTGGTGTTTGGCAAGGAACAATGAGATCTTTGCTTCATTGCACTTGCTATGTTTTATTTTTATCTTTTATTTATTTATTGTAACTTTTTAATTGCTGTGAGCCACTCAAAGTCATTGAGAGTCAGGCAACATACACGTTTAATACATTATTATGGTTCATCACACAGTCAGCCAGATGTTTAAACTGAATTTGGCATTATTATCCATCTATCAAGTTCTTCCCAAGGACCTGGAATAAGTAAATGTTGTTTGAAGGTATTAAAGGTATTGTTGCAGGATGTAACCTGTTGCAAATAAAGCTGCTTTTTGCAATTGACTGATATTCATTTTATCAATCCTGATTGCATTCAAGTGGTGTTACAAATGTTGGATTGCACCCAAAGTGCCTATTACTATTCATATTATTTTTACTTTCATTTGCTATAGTTATTTTACCTCTATTTGCAGGTTTTGTATTTGTGATTTTTCTCCATTATTTTATTATTGAAACACTATTTGAAAGCAACACATTACATCTGAGGAATACTTCAAATTCAGTTTTGAATATGTACAGGAAGACAAATTTAGTATCTATTGGAACTCATTAAAACAGCTACATCTTTTCCCAGGGTGTCTTTAAAAACATACACATCTAATTTAAATGAGTTGCCAATAGCTATTGAAATTGTAGTACAGTACATTCTAGAATATTCCAAAGTACATCTTCTAAATTAAATCAAATGTACTGTATGCATTCTGGCATTTTCTGGTTTTAAAAGTAGACTAACTTAAAGGAAAAACAATATTAATTCATTCTATATCACGGGTTCCTAAACTTTTGGCATCACACCTCTTTTTACTGTAATCCTAATGTACACACCTTTCCTAAAAATTCAAACACCAAAATAAATAAAACTGAACAACAAAAACAATCCAACAAAACTTTGACAAAGTGGTTTTATTGCAACAGTATAACTAAAACATTCTTCCCTTGATTCTGTCTACATCTCCCCAAGAGAGGTACACCTTCCAGTATGGGAAATCCTGTTCTACCTGATCTCATAGATACTGTACTCAATGACACTTTTTGATCTATTTATTTTAAATATAGTCTACAAACATAATTCAGTGCTGCCATTACACTGACAACAAATATGGCAGTAGAGAGCAATTTGCAAGCATGTCTTTTCAAGTTGATGTCACAGTTATCTTCCCATTTGTCTCTGGCATAAAATAGCTTTTTTATAATAACAACAATTATAGCCACCAAGTGAATGTTCTCTGTGTATTCTGTTATAATTTAAAGGTGGAACCTATCCCCATTCCCCCAAATATTCACTGTCTTCTCCAAGAGCTTTCCCACCAAATTGTAATTTTTTAAAATGAAAGAAGAGCAATGATGCTTAAACACAGGAAATAACCACATTGTACCAAATTTAGTATTGATTATTTTATCCTGATTTTCTTGAACGCATTCCCCAACTTAACATTCAAAGCCACACAAGGATCTTAGCCCTCCAATTAAGTTAATAAGCTTGGTTTAAGAGATGGGGAGGCAAAGCAAAGATCCCATAATATAATGCAAACTCTATCTACAGGTAGTTCTCATTTAGCTATTTATGACCAATCTTCACATTTATGACTTCACAGGTCTGTAAAGCAAAGAAAGTGAAGTAAGATCAAAAGCAAAGTTGTGGTTTCACTTAGTGACTGCTTAACAACTGGGTTGCAAGGCCAACTATGGTCACTAAATATGGACTACCTGCGTGCTGTCAATTAATCCTTAGCTTTTGGTGGAAAAAGCTCCAGCATTAAGCAAACAGATGGTGAACAGGCAGAAGGTAGCAATGAAGAACTACAGGTTGTCATTCAGCCCCACAAGCCAGTCTCAGTGGGATGATCCACTGCAGGTGCTGAAGTGAAATTTAACTACCATATTGTCTTTCTTTTCAACCAGCAAGTATCTCAGCTTGTCCCTAAATTCAAGTCAGCTGTTTTTAAGACAGTAAATGATACCAGCCAGAAAGATGATACGCAGGCTTCTCTATTCCTTGAAATGGAGAAGCTATATAGAAACATGAGAAAACCAATTCCTAACCAGACATTTAAAAAAATGAGCTTTTATTCTTGAGAGATCTGACATTGCCACAAAGTTTGGGATTAGAGGTTGATTTTTTTTTAAACAGTCTTTAATTAAAATGATTCACAAATATTTGGACTGTATTTAAAACAGTGGAAGTGCAGTTATTAATCACAGATTGTTCTCCTGATAATAACATTTGCAAAGGAAAACTTTATTGGGGTGGGAGGGAATAAATCAATATGTATTTTTTTTAAATGTATGGATTTTAGTTCCCCAAGAAGTTGCTACTGAAACACAGGTGGAACAATCTGAACATCTGTATCAGAGAAGATCAGGAAGAAGCCTTTTCAGCCTTTCTGCTGTCAAATTCAGTTGAGAACTGGAAATTACCAAGGCCAGCTGTTTAAAGCCGTGAACTACAGCAGTGTTTCCCAAACTTGACAATTTTAAGGCATGTGGACTTCAACTCCCAGAATTCCACAGCCAGCGTTGCTGGCTGTGGAATTCTGGGAGTTGAAGTCCTCATGCCTTAAAATTGTCAAGTTTGGGAAACACTGAACTACAGTATTATTACAGAGAGAAACAGACACTGATGTTATGAAGGAAACATAAGCCATTATTCAAAATTCACCCTTCTAATTTCTACCACTTTCAGGGCTATCTTCTTACAACACTTTTCTCATTCTTTAATTGGAGGCAAAGCTAAACACCACTGGGGAATTTAGTCCTATAGTTTCAGAAATGCAGACCCAGCTGATTCAAGGCCAGTCCTTTTTTTTTTTCCCCAGAGCTGGAACTTAAGATTGCACTACTTCTTCCAAGAACAACCTCTTATTATGACAGGCTGATGATTAAAAGGACAAAGCTGAACTCGTGCACTGTTAGAATTGCTACTGGCTTCAGTTTTTTTGGCATGCAATAGCTAAAAACATGTGAAAAGCTATCATATGATTTCACTAGGAACCCATGAACTAGAATTGCATTTTATCTCTGACAAACAACAGCGTCTTGGACCAGGCTCTGCATCATGTGATAAAACCACACTGAATCTAAGAGTTACAGCATTTTTGTTCAGGCAAGTCACACTGTAGCATTCAGCTGATGTTGAAGGTTTGATTAATCATGCTTGGTTGCAAGCAGGCATATTTCAATATAAAAAGGGAAAAGTACTTAACCTGGAATGACAGAATATATTTCCCAAATCATACATTTCCAACCTTAACCTAGCAAATTTGCAGTATATAATATATGAACTGTCTTTAAAAAAAAGTTCTCCTAGATATTACTTTTCTACAAAGCTCTCCCTGAGCACTGTATCTTGAATGCACCTTTCTTGACCAAAAATACTAGGAAATGTTATATCCTTGGCCTTTACAGTTGAATGAGATGAACTTCAGAATCCCCATACATGAAGAGAGGTCAAATGGTCACCATCTTTTGGATGCCAACTGTCAGCAGCTTGCCAGATAGCTAATCATACTGAAAATGTGGAACCCAGACAAATTTTAGAACATGCAAATTTAGAACCAAGCATATGCTCAAAATCAACTCATTGGACACCTGTATCAAATATCTGAGGTGTCCTTTTTTTTTTCCTTTGCAAGGTTTTCAATTCTGAATATCAATTAAATACACGACACAACAAATTGCCAGAGATGATGCAACAAAGGAACTGGCTGTTTGCTGTTTCAAGCACAGATCAAGTTATGTTTCCAAAATTATAAGGAGATTAATGACTGAATACTACATATAAAGGAAACTGGAATTTCTGCTCCTAAACAAAGATATAAGTGGCTCTCATATGCACATAAGAGAGGTTCCCTGAGGATGGGCTCCAAGCACAAGTCCAAAAGTTTGGAAGACTAAATTTCTGGTCCCTGTGACTGCCTCATTCAAAGAGGACTAACTAAAGTTTCATATAACTCCATGCACCAATTCTGGAATGTCTCTTTTAAATCACAATTTTTAAAATATCCCTCTTTCTGTATGGGTGAACTGTCAAGAAGCACATGGATATCAGGGAGTTTTTACACTGTTTAATTATAAGAAAGCAATGGCAAGGCAAGGCAAGGCATAGGTATCTCCTTCATAATCAAGACACTTGAATGATGAAAAACAGAAATTCCCAAGCTCATATTCTGTATGCCATGGTCATTGCTAGATTGGACCCATGGACCTCTGCTGCCCAACAAAGCTTTAGCTAATCAAGGATTTCATGTCACATTTTGAATAACACAGAATAGATGCAGACTTGGTTTCCAGCCTTAATCATATCCATGCCACATGCAACATTTCATGTTAATGACAGTGGTTGAGCTGGTCAACTTTGGAATATTTTGACCAAAGTACCACAGGCTCATCCAAGCCAAGTTTTACCCCAGACACATTCACAGTATTTTATGCAAGGTAGTAATTCTAAACTGGAAACAACTTTGTAAGCAATATACTGTTGCTCACACTCACCAAAAATGTGGTACATGCACTTATACACACTATGCAACAATTCTGGTGTTGATGGAACAAGTAAAAAAAAAAAAACCCTTGTAAACAAGTTGTCATGCAGTATTTCTCAGTCCATTAGAAAACAATGGACTATTTTCACATAAACTC